CCCAGTGCCTCCCAGTGCCCCCCAATCCACTCCCAGTGCCTCCCAGTGCCCCCCAATCCACTCCCAGTGCCTCCCAGTGCTCCCCAATCCACTCCCAGTGCCTCCCAGTGCCCCCCAATCCATTCCCAGTGCCTCCCAGTAACCCCAGTTCTTCCCTTTAGGCCATGAAACTCCAACTGGTGACGGCGGTGGCGGCCCTGGCGGGCGCCTCGTGCTCCCTGCTGGCCGAAGGCTCCTCCTCCTCCTCCTCTGGAACGGGAATTTCCTCGGGAATTTCCTCGGGAATTCTGCCCTTCACGGCGGGGGGTTTCATCTACCTGGGCACGGTGTCGGTGATCCCGGAGATCCTCCGGAATTCCGGGCCCGGCCCGGCCCTCCGGCAGCTCCTGGCGCTGCTGGCCGGGCTGGCCATGATGCTGCTGATTGCTCTCTGGGAGTAGATTGATTTGGGGAATTATTGGGAATTTTGGGGGGATTTTTTTGGGATTTTTTGGGGGATTTTTTGGGATTTTTTTGGGATTTTTTTGGGGATTTTTTTAGGGATTTTTTGGGGATTTTTGGGGGATTTTTTGGGGATTTTTTTTGGAATTTTTGGGGGATTTTCTGGGAATTTATTGGGAATTTTTGGGGGATTTTTTGGGAATTTTTTTTGAATTTTTTTGGGAATTTTTTGGGGGAATATTTTTGAGATTTTTTGGGGGATTTTTGGGGAATTTTGGGGGATTTTTTGAGGATTTTTTTTGGGATTTTTTTGGAATTTTTTGGGAATTTTTGGGGAATTTTTTGGGAATTTTTTAGGAATTTTTTGGGAATTTTTTTTGAATTTTTTTGGGAATTTTTTGGGGGAATATTTTTGAGATTTTTTGGGGGATTTTTGGGGAATTTTGGGGGATTTTTTGAGGATTTTTTTTGGGATTTTTTTGGAATTTTTTGGGAATTTTTGGGGAATTTTTTGGGAATTTTTTAGGAATTTTTCAGGAATTTTTTGGGAATTTTTTTGGGATTTTTTTGGGGAATTTTCTGGGAATTTTTGGGGAATTTTTTTGGAATTTTTGGGGAATTTTTTTTGGAATTTTTTAGGAATTTTTTGGGGATTTTTTGGGGAATTTTTTTGGGAATTTTCTGGGAATTTCGGGGCAGTTGGGTAACGGGTTTTGGAGCTGGGATTGGGATTTTTGGGGGAAAAATCCCTGGAATTCCAGGAATTCCAGAGCCTTTGGGTCGTGGGTTTGGGATTGGGAAGGATTTGGGGGGAAAAATTCCCGGAATTCCCGGAATTCCAGAACCTCGGGATGAGGGATTTTAACCTGGGAAAGTCCCAGTTTTTCCATGGATTTGTCCCCTTGGGAATGGGATCGGGAATTCCCAATTTAGGACCCCCCAAAAATCCCAAATTTTCCCATGAAATCACCCCAAAATTCCCACCAAATCATCCCAAAATTCCCATGGGATTTGGATCGGGAATTCCCAATTTAGGACCCCCCAAAATTCCCAAATTTTCCCAGGAAATGATCCCAAAATTCCCTTTGGGAATGGGAATCCAGGAATTCCCAATTTTCCATTCCCCCCCCCCCAAATTTTTTAGGACCAAACCCCCTCCCCCCCGAAAAAATTTGGGAATTTTTTCCCAAAAAAAAAAAAAATTTTTTGGGGGGGGAAATTTGGGAATTTCGGGAATTTCGAGGCTTTTTTTTTGGATTTATCCCGGTTTTTTATTTTTTAAGGATTGTAACCGATCATGGCCCGGAATAAAATCGGAAGAAAAAGGAATTTTGTTCGAATTTTTGGGTGGAAAAACCCCAAAAAAGGGGGAAATTTTGGGATTTGGGGGCGTGGCCAATGAAAAGGGGGCGTGGCTAAACCAAAAGGGGTGTGGCCAATTGGGAGGGGATTTGAGAAGGGGGGACACCCTTGAGGGGGTCTCGGACACCCCTAAAAAAGCCCCAAATTTGGGTCAAAAACTCCCAAAATTGGGAATTTTGGGGCTCGAGGGGGCGTGGTCAATGAAAAAGGGGCGTGGCTAAACCAAAAGGGGTGTGGCTAATTGGGAGGGGATTTGGGGAGGGGGGAGACCCTTGAGGGGGTCCCGGACACCCCTAAAAAAAGCCCCAAAATTGGATCAAAAAACCCCAAAATTGGGAATTTTGGGGCTCGAGGGGGCGTGGCCAATGAAAAGGGGGCGTGGCCAAGCCAGAAGGGGTGTGGCCAATTGGGAGGGGATTTGAGGAGGGGGGAGACCCTTGAGGGTGTCTCGGACCCCCCTAAAAAAAGCCCCCAAATTGGGTCAAAAACCCCCAAAATTGGGAATTTTGTGGCTCTTGGGGGCGTGGCCAATGGAAAAGGGGGCGTGGCTAAACCAAAAGGGGTGTGGCTAATTGGGGGGGATTTGGGGAGGGGGGAGACCCTTGAGGAGGTCCCGGACACCCCTAAAAAAAGCCCCAAAATTGGGTCAAAAACCCCCAAAATTGGGAATTTTGGGGCTCGAGGGGGCGTGGCCAATGGAAAAGGGGGCGTGGCTAAACCAAAAGGGGTGTGGCTTATTGGGGGTGGACTTGGGGAGGGGGGAGACCCTTGAGGGGGTCCCGGACACCCCTAAAAAAAGCCCCAAAATTGGGTCAAAAACCCCAAAAATTGGGAATTTTGGGAGTTGAGGGGGCGTGGCCAATGGAAAAGGGCGTGGCCAAACAGGAAGGGGTGTGGCCAATTGGGAGGGGATTTGGGGAGTGGGGAGACCCTTGAGGGGGTCCCGGACCCCCCAAAAAAAAGCCCCAAAATTGGGTCAAAAACCCCCAAAATTGGGAATTTTGGGGCTCTTGGGGGCGTGGCCAATGAAAAAGGGGCGTGGCTAAACCAAAAGGGGTGTGGTCAATTGGGAGGGGATTTGGGGAGGGGGGAGACCCTTGAGGGGGTCCCGGACCCCCCAAAAAAAGCCCCAAAATTGGGTGAAAAACTCCCAAAATTGGGAATTTTGGGATTTGGGGGCGTGGCCAAAGGAAAAAGGGGGCGTGGCTAAACCAAAAGGGGTGTGGCTAATTGGGGGGATTTGGGGAG